CTGCCGTGCCAGCTCCACCTGTGGAAACTGATGCTCCCGCTGAAGGTGAAGAAGATCCTAATGACCCCGGCTATGCCCCTAGCTTTGCCGGTAGTGACCTTCCTAGTCCCTCAGATTTAGATGAAGTTCTAGACCCCGAGCCTGTTGAGGACGCTGCTGGGTCCTCTAGCGCGTCGGAGCCTAAACACCCAATGGATGATAAGCTTTTGGTAGAGCTAGCCGATGGTGAGCCGCCTAAGGATGAAGTTCTAAAGCAGCAAGCCACTAGCCCTGAACATTTGCGCACCCATTTTCCCAAAAATCCCTACTGTCCTTTGTGCCATATAGCAAAAGATACCGCCATGAGGGTTTCACATGTCAAAGATGGCAAAGCCGATGATTTTGTTGATCCCCCAAAGCAGCCGCTGGAACAGCTTGCTACTGATGATGTTATCTTAGCTAAAGGGTCCGAACACTTGGGTGTAGGTATAGGGGGAATAAGGTCGCATCATGTCATCCGCGATGCGTACTCTGGTGCGCGTGTTGCATACCCATTGTCCAAACGTACTGCTGACGCGCATGCTCGCAACTTTAGACATTTCTTAGGATTGCGTGGATCAGAGCTCACCACCCGAACGTTCATCAAAATGGACGAAGCAGGCGAGCTTGAGCAGGCGGCACATGCCGTAGGCATGGTTCCAGAAACCTCGTTGCCGAACAGATGGCCCCACAATGCCATCCTCGAGAGAGATGTTCGAGAGGAGAAAGAATGTTGCCGCACTATTCACCTCCAATCTGGCCTTCCCTATGAGTATCACACATATAGCTATCCATATGCTTGCCTTTCAATGTCATTCGACAAGCCTTCAATAGCTGACCCCGACAAAACCCAATGGGAGTCGCTTACTAGGAATAAGTTTGATGGCATGAGGTTATGCTTTGGTCAGTTAGTGTATTACCGTAGGAAGTCACCCACCAAAAGGACTTTGGAGCCCAACATGTCACCTGGTCTGTTTTTGGGTTGGAGGATTGATCCCGGTTTCCGATATAGAAATATCTTAAGGGTGTTAGATTACCAAGAGTATCGCACTAGAGGTGGGAATTCAGCCGTTGATGTTCCAGAAGCAGAAATCTTTGTCCCTGAAGGTGATCCTGTTTTTCCAATAGGTTTTTCACGCCACCAAGCTCTCATCAGGGGGGATAACCCAGATGATCTTAAGTTGCCTGAATATGCCTTAAAGGATGTGCCCTTCCCCAAGGAGGGCGGAATAGCCTCACCCTCTACACCAGGTCTCAAAAGTCGTTCTGTTTATATAACCGTAGACCGTATCCTTAAGTGGAAAGAGACCCCTGGTTGCAAAGGCTGCGCTGGCCATTCGCGCGTGCACACTGATGAGTGCCGAGCCCGCTTCACAATGTTGGTTGAAAAAGAAAAAGAAGCCGAAAAAGAAAAGAAAGCTCCACCACCCACAAGTGAGACAGAAGCAGAAGACAGGGATGATGAAGCACATGGCATCATCTTCCGCGGTGAGGATCTGCCTGATCCCGATCCGATACCATCTCACCTCTCCGCAGAGGATAGAGCATTGGTTGAGGAAATCTTCGTAAGAGGTGAGGTACCAGGGTCATCCGAACCCAGTGCTCCAGCCGAGCCTGCTGTTTCCGTTTCTGGTGTAGCTATTCTTCCCCAAGTTGCCAATCGATGTTCCGACCTATGTCAAAAATCGCTGCCTGTTTTTGGTTGCCCCGCTGTAGGTAAGCCAACTAACCGCGATAATCGTAGGAGCCGGAAAGCTGCCAAGAAAGCTTCCAGACCCAATGCCAAGTCAACCATGTTTGAGTTTGCTTGTTCTGAGGACTCCCAGATGGGTTTTACTCACCAAGAATATGGCATTAATCATGTTAGACTTTGTAAGGATAGGATAGACCTGGGAGATGAATCACAATGCGAGCAACTAGACTATCAGATAGATGAAGCCGCTAAGGTTGCACCTCCACATATGTGGGCCTCTATCCCTTGCACATCCGGATCTCCTTGGCAGTACATCAATAGGAAGAGGGGTGGTGCCGCATTCATTAGGAAGCTTGCCCACCAGGTCAAAGAGTCCAAACGGTTGTTTAAGAGTTTTTCCAAACGCGCTGAAAGGGTTCTCAATCATGGTGGTACTGTAACGTTTGAGTGGCCAAGACCTTGCTCTGGCTGGAAAAGGCCTGACGTTGTAGCATTCTTTGAGAACATCCCCAGTTTATGACCGTTGGTTTTGAAGGGTGTACCGTAGGTTTAACCGACAGAAATGGTTATCCCATCAAAAAGCCATGGAAACTCAAGACCACTTCTCCCCGAATTGTAGAGGCGTTTCAAGATATGCGGTGCCGATGCCAGCAACCTCATTCCAGATGTGAGGGAGCTGAGACCACTCGCTCCGCAATGTATCCGCCCCAAATGACTAGTTTAATTGCGCAAGCTTTGTATCCCTCAAAATGTGCCCAGCAGTCCGTTCCTGCTATGCCTTGCCGACCAGCAACTAGCGAGCCTCAACCCCATAGGGAAATTGAGCAGCACCTTAAGCATGTATCCCCATTAGCTGGTTTTGAAGATTTAGCCCTAGCTGTTGAATCAGACCCCACCGCTAATAGGTTGGTTACAGAACTTCTTGACCATGAACAATTGATCGCCCAAGCCTTCCACCTAGAAGACCCAAAGGCGCCAACGCCTGAGATCAAAGCTATGGTCACTAAGCTCTTGTCCCGTGCAGAGATGCTGTCCAATCCCAAGGCCCTCGAGGCAATCCGTGCCGAAGCCGATGGTTTGGTTAAGGCTGGTACTTGGGATCTTGGTTCGGTCCGCGAAAAGGAAGATGTACGCAAAGAAGCTAAGGCTTCGGGTGTATCAGTACACTTTGGTCAACTCATGACCATCGCGTCCATTAAATTCTACGAGCTTGCGGACCACCTTCACAAAATGAAGGGGCGCATTGTGTACAGAGGAGACTGCGCAAAGGACGAACATGGTGCAGCCGCGGTTTACCAAGAACTCGGCGCAAATCCCACCTCCGTCCAAGGGCTAAACGCCTGCCTGGCGTATGGGTCGGTGCCGGGTAACCGCGCGACGGCTGCAGATGCAGTCAAAGCTTACGTCCAAGCACTGTTATCTTCCAAATACAAAACCTGGATTGAGCTTCCCCCGGAGCTCCGCCCTAAGTATTGGAAACAACAGTTTGTTAAGCCCGTAGTCCTCTTAATTAAAGCCTTATACGGTCATCCTGATGCCGGAGGCCTGTGGGAACAACACTTGAAAGTCATCATCAAGAACCTTGGTGGACAGGAAGTTCAAGAATACCCAGGAAATTTTTACTTCCCAGATACAAAGTTACTTCTGTCAACTTATGTAGACGATTTAACTCTAGCTGGCCCCGCCGACCAGCATGATGCATTCTGGAGTAAGTTAACTTCTGTGGTAGACATTGAACCCCCAGAGCCCATCTATAGGATTCTTGGACGCAACCATGTTGTTACCCCACTCTCCAAGACCGAAGGTCATGAAAAATGTGCAGCCTTCCAAGCCCAAGATGGCATGGTTTTTGATATGGCAGACTACGCTCAGCAGACCGTAGATTTGTATAAGTCAATAACTGGTGTCACCAAACTCAAGCATGCCGCCACGCCATTTCCACCTGAGGGATCCATCACCATTGAAGATGATGAAACTAAAGGGGAACTAGCTCCAAACGCATGTAAGATTTTGATGAAAGCCCTTTGGTTAGGTAGACTTGCACGTCCCGACATCATCAAGCCTATCAATGATCTGGCCACAAAGGTCCAGTCGTGGTCCAGGGGGGATGATAAGAAGGTCCTAAGATTAATCCAGTATATAGCCTCAACACCACACTACAGGTTAGTAGGTACCATTCAGTACAAGCCTGAAGACCTAGAGCTCAGACTGTTTGTCGATGCCGACTTCGCCGGCGACAGATCCACTGCACGCTCAACCTCTGGTGGCTTTTTGGTTTTAACTGGCCCTAGTTCCTTCTTCCCACTTGTATAGCATGTGCAGGTAGGTCTAGTAGAGGTATGCCTTAGCTATGAGTCCATCATGCCCAAAGTAGATATCCCCGATATGTACAGCCACAGCACTACCTATGTAGAAGCGTTACATAGGTAGGGTAGCCACTAATTAGAGTAGAGTGTAATTCCATCCTAACAATAACCTGGGTGGGTCATTTGCACGTCTACGACGTTTGTGGCTCAAGCGCCTTCGAGAAAAGGCGTTTGGTTGTTTGTTTGATGCAGGTGTTGCCGGATTGGTTTTCCCTTTTCGTTTGGGTTTCCGGTTCGACCCCCTGTTTCACTTATATATATATTATATATTATATATTATATATATATTATATATATATATATATATATATTATATATATATTATATATATATATATTATATATATATTATATATATATATTATATATATATATATATATATTCGTGTATATGTTATACGTATTTATACATACATACTTAATAAGTTAATACATAAGCGTATTTATGCAATCAGTAGGCGCTCGCATATATATAAATAGTTATATACATATACATGTTGTTTGTCTTGTCATTATAATTATATTATATGTATATTTTTGAATGTATATATATATAAATCATACATATTTATACATGCATAGTTAATGATTTAAAACATAAGCGTATTTATTCAAAATTATTAGGTACTTGCATATGTGTATATATATATTTGTCATATTAAATATTACAGTATTACTATCTGTATATATATATGTATATCATCTGTATTATCTGCTAATATTATTATGATACTATTAATATATATATATATACGAGACTTCGTATAATATATCACTATTACATATATATATATATATATAGTATTACATAATATACATAATATTACATATATATATAGTATTAATATATCACTATTATATATATAATATGTATGCATTATATCATATAGACATGACTGTTACATAGCATTCTTTCTCGCTGAGGATCGGCCTCTGGTTCATGTTCCTGGCTGTGCTGTATATTCTCATGGGCTTCGACATCATGCGCGCAGAGCATGGGAATTCCCCAGGGAAAAGCCATGGGTTTTATGGTGAGGGATCAGGATTTCTGAAGGGAAATTGATGTTTTTTAGACGAGTTGAAGAATCCATTGGAGCTGTGGATCATGTCATCAGCCAGATGATTGATGCCAACCAGCCATGTCGTATATCCATGGTATATCCCCATCATTTCTAGACGTCCACGTTTTTTTTTTTTGCACCTTCCCTTCGGTCCCTTCAACGGTCATTCGACGGGCGACATTTTACAAATGGGTCACCGTTCTGAGGCCCCAAGAGGTGGCCAAGAAGATGAAAGATGCCCCTTGGGATGGACACATTGGGGATATGGCTCCAAAAGATGCAGGGATAGGTCATAGGTGAAGCAGCAACATCGGAAAACATATATAGACAGATATGGAACGTGTATGGAACATGTCTCTTGGGACTTTTTCCCCTGCGGTTTGCAAAGATTGACCGGGCAGTCATACAGATACAAGCTGAGGCCTCCCAGTTATGTTTGTTGCTTTCTAACCCCATTCACTAGTTCGTGATATTTCACAGATTTCCCATAAACAACCCAAACATCAAGCAAGTTATGTGCATCAACTTAGCTATCTCACTCCCATTCAACCATATTCAGCCATATTCAACCGTATTCAACCATATTCAATCACCCTAACTTTGCTCGGTTTCTTGGGCCTAACGAGGGCCTCAACCTTGTATTTCTCAGCCAAGCACAATGCCATTTTCCAGGTCCGAGCACTGGTGAAGGCGCCATTGTACGATGAAGAAAGTCCCAAGGCGCGTGTTGGACCGGCAGAGCTTTGGTGGTTTTTATGGCCTGAACAACCTTGAAAAACTAGATGCTTCATGATGGCTTTGGATAACAGACAATTCTTAGCCACAATTGGACGGTTGATGATGGCGGTTTCTTGTTTCTTGAGTACTCCCACATTAGTCAGACATAGTCAGACGCTAGATGATATTTAAGATAAACATGCACTACTGTAAACGAATTGATCGTTTGTGATGGGTTGTATTGGTTTCTCAAATCATTGCTCCCCTTGATCGGATGGTTTATATATTCATGTTCGTGATTGTTCATGTATACCCTCTGGTAATCTGACATGGCAATGAACAGTTCGCAATTGTATAATATACATTCATCTACAGATGCACTTCGCATTAAAAGAATGGGATGTGCCATTGCGATGTTTGATTAGGGTACTGTACTGGTTTCCCACATTTCTTTGCCCTGAAATGAGTGTGTCTGAGAAGGGGATTTAGCTCTATATATATATATATATTTGTATATCTATATATATGATATTGGCATTGGCCATGATGGTAAATGGCAAACACCATTTTTATCTCAACCATAGAAGTGCAACATCTCAATGACGAATTTCATGTTACCATTAATACCAGAAATCTGGTACAAAATGATTTCTGGCGTGCTGGAAATCCAGCATTTTTCTCGATGATTTCCCAGCCACAGGCTGCGGGTGGTCAGGTGGCGTGGCTGTGGCGAGATTGGTGGCGGTCATGGAAATGCATGGACCATGAGATGTAATTAATGATTATTAATGATGATTATTATGAATGATTATCTGGGTAAATTATATCTCATTAATCATCATTAACAATCTGGTCATGAATGATAATCAATCTGGGTAAATTTGATCACGATCTCACTGTTCTCCCTCACTGGAATCATGGTTAGTAAGGAACATAATCCCCAAATGGCCTTAATCCAGGTTAGTGAAATATTATGATTTACCCTGATCAATGATAATTATAATATGCTATAATTGTATTTTTTATTCATCATACCATGAAAAATATGATGACATAGAATTATAATTATTTATCACTGGTATGTTTTGAGTAATTATAATATAATTATTAATTTTGGGATCATATTTTCATGTAGAATCACCATTATTAATAGGTAGATATCATCGAACATATGGGCCATGGCTTCCATAGCTATCTTACATACTGTTAACATCTGTTAACTTACTTGAGGGTAACCTTTGCAATTCTTGAGTTGCCTTGAACCGTTTATCTTCCGCATTAGTGATTTTTAGACCTTAAACGTTTCACTTCGAAAGCTCCGAAGCTTGTCTCAGAAGCACCAGGCATCTCAGAAGAAAGTCCGGATCTCTAGGGAGAGCAAGGCCCAGAACTCCAACAACTGGTTCATGGTTGGGGTTACAACAACTGGTTTCATGGGGACCAGCAAGATCTATCCAGTGATTCAGTGAATGCGACTCTGGTTATCCCATGAATATCTTTGTCCGAGACGACTAAGATGTGGCCATTTGAATGGGGAATTGGCGACATGTTCAAGGCACCCCATTCTCAGACACACCCAGAAATCTTTGGTGGTAGAATACCACGCTTCGGTGATATGAATTTATAACTTTCATGTGCATGGCATGGCACAAAATGTTGATGGATTTACGGATCATCACCAATCTTATTCCCATCATATTACATCATATTACCATGTGATGGCTCCCTCCATGCACCACAACCAACCCATCCCAACGATTGCTGAGGAAGCCTTGCTGGCGACCGAGCCAACCCAGGGTTCTGCAGTCCGGGGCTGATGTGGCGCGAGTGATTCGAATTTCTGCACTGACCTCACCCTTGAAAGATGATGATTTGCTGGTTGGTGGTTTAATGATGTTTAATGATATTTATGATGGTTATACAATGGTTAATCATGGTTAATAATGGTTAATGACTGGTTGGTGGTGCCTGGGACCATGGAATTTTGAATGACTTTCCAGAAACAGTTGGGAATGGAAAATCATCCCAACTGACGAACTCCATCATTTTTCAGAGGGGTAGGCTCAACCACCAACCAGTTTGTATTGATGATTTGTATTGATGATGGGAAGAAGATTTGTATTGATGTGTTTCTTTTTATGATTTGCCCAGATGAGTTCCAGGATTCACACTCCAGTAGCCATCAATAACCTTTGCCGCCCAGGAGCAACCTCAGCAGGGCAAGAGTGTTGGGGAACTCATTCAACCTTTTATGGAGACAACAAATGAGAATTTTCTCAGCAAAAAAAGGCAATAAATCACTGGAAAACATGGTTTATAAGGGAAATCATCCCCAAATGGCGCAACATTTCAGGTTAGTGAAAGATGATAATTTACCCAGAATAATGTAGGAATTTGCAGGATCTAAACAGGTGACAAAGGCACGGGTCAGACCCTGATGTTTCTGTGCCTTTCCCATGTGCTGTTCACTGTCAATTCATAGGTAGCAAAGAATCGGAGGACATTTGCTCATACTTACTCCACATACAGCAATTTCCCCGGCTTCTCTTTGTTGCCCCCGTTGTGACATGTTGTGATTTCCTCAATGGGATGGTGCCCCTTGAGGCCAGCCGCGATCCAAAGACTCCGGCGTCGGAACACCAAAGATCTACCAGCAGGGATGTGGCAGCAGGAGTGACCAGGGTATCTGTGGCACAAGTGGTTTCGAATATTAGTGTTCAATTTTGATACCAAAGATGAGTCTGAATGACTTGAATGACTAGCACTTCAAAATGCAAAGGAGGATTCTAGATTCTAACCAAAAGAAAGTATGCTACATCATATTCATGTACGCGCATCTGGGTGAATTCTGACGTCACTGCGACCTCACTGGAATGATACTGAAGGAGAATCATCCCAAAGTAGCTTCAATTGAGTGAATTTGCCACGATACATAATAATCAATCATAATTACATCATATTACATATTCGATGGCCAGATTATTGCGCAATTATACTAGATATTGAATCATTATCATTTGCCAAGATCTGCAGGGTGCCTCTCCGGTCGACTTGGGTGGTCGCATAGTGGCATAGCATCGCTGGAAGATGATCGTGCATGGCTTCATGTCGTTGGACAATGATTTATCTGGTGGAAACTGGCTCCATGACAAGCCCACCATATTAATCCATATTTTTATATACTTATTTATATATATATATTGTTATGTTCAGTATTTTCGGAGCATAAAAATGGTTTTTGCAACCTTTCTATTTTTGGTGGATATCCGTATGGATTATTGGTTCCAAAGGTAGACCCCCAAATGATGCGGACAAATCCAAGGTCTCAAGCAGGCCTGGGGCTGAGCTGCTTGCATAAGTGTGAACCCCAAACTCGGGAGACCTAAATGTAGTTAATTACATGTATAATTCATGTATTTACTCAAAAGTTTGAGTTTCATTGCAAACTCCTGATCTTACCATAGAATTTATGGAATTGCCCATCAAAAAATGCTGATTTTGCCATCAGAAAGGAGAAGCCAGTAGCATCAATACTTGGGAGCCGCAGGAAAGGCAAACCGGGCAAGCCAGGAAGAAGCGTTTACAGGACATCTAAAATGTTTGGGACAGGTGACGACAACGCCACTCGATGGTGGATTGGTCGTGATTCCCCAAACCATCTGGACTCATCAGAACATACTGCTGTCAGCCAGCGGCCGAGAGGTCCCTAACCTATAGGCCCTTTTAGGGTTTCATGTGACCAGAGATTTATGGGTCATGTAATATAGATATCAATTTTTGAGCCGGAGGTACTGTACCACAGAAAACATCAGAAAACCATATTTTCGGCTATATCCCGTGAAATTTAGCCCTTGCAATGGCTGCCGAATCAATGGCCAGCTCGTTGATCGTTCCCTATCGTCCAGGCAAAGGAGGCTGCTGCGTGCTTCAGTGAGAGCCGATTGATGGATTCACATATATTCACCCAACAAAAATGGAGGGTTGATTATGGTTTATGATGGTTTGTTATGGTTTACCATTGTACTTTACCGTTGATCATGGGGGTCCAAGTGTCCAAGCATGTACCATGTTTCACCATTCCAATGAGGATGGGCCGGACTGACCCACTAAACATTGTGGGTATCTTGTCACGGACGACGTCTGTCGCCGAGTGTCTCGCAGAAATCTGGACGCTATCTTGGAGGAACCTAAGAGGAGCGATGGACCAGCCGGGTGTTTTTGTTTGGGAATATCATGGAATATCATTAGCACATATTAACTAGGTCAATCTTAGATGGGTACTTTAATCCTTTAGTCTTTTGGTATCAATAGGAATATCTACGAACCAGCAAAGAATTTATTTTTTTGCAGGGTATCTAAGATTGGCAATGTTAACAACAATGCTACTTGTAGGTGGTTATTGCAACCTTGGGGATGCCCATTGAGAACATGTAAACATGCCTCAAAAAGACAAATGTAAAGCTATTGCCGCATATCCCCGCTATTCCCCAAAAATATAATTACTTTACTTCGTGTGATCCCCACCATGACATTTATACATTTTCTTACTGGCAAATCTTCTGGCATTCTATCTGACATATCTTCTGACATTCTATTTTGCATTCTATCTGGCATATCTTCTGGCATATGATCTGGCATATCTTCTGGCATATCTTCTGGCATTCTATCTGGCAAATCTTCTGGCATTCTATCTGGCATATCTTCTGGCACTCTATCTGACATTTTATCTGGCATTCAATCTGGCATTCTATCTGGCATATATTCTGACATATCTTCTGGCATTCTATCTGACATATCTTCTGGCATATATTCTGACATATCTTCTGGCATATCTTCTGGCATATCTTCTTGCATATCTATCTGGCATATCTTCTGGCATATTTTCTGGCATTCTATCTGGCAAATCTTCTGGCATTCTATCTGGCATTCTATCTGGCATATCTTCTGGCATATTATCTGGCATTCTATCTGGCATATCTTCTGGCATATATTCTGACATATCTTCTGGCATTCTATCTGGCATTCTCTTTGGCATTCTATCTGGCATATCTTCTGGCATATTATCTGGCATTCTATCTGGCATATCTTCTGGCATATCTTCTGACATTCTTTCTGACATTCTTTCTAACTTTCTTCTGCACATTCTTTGTCCCATATCTTCCTACATGAGGTCCGGCAGGGAACACTTGGCGTGGATACTCGCGGTTGAGGTCCGGCAGGGAACACTGGGCGTGGCTGGTCGTGGTTGAGGTCCGGCAGGGAACACTGGGCGTGGCTGGTCGTGGTTGAGGTCCGGCAGGGAACACTGGGCGTGGATGGTCGCGGTTGAGGTCCGGCAGAGAACACTGTGGATCGCGGGTCGCAGTTGGACGAGGACGACGAGGACGACGAGGACGACGAGGACGACGAGGACGACAAGGATGACAAGGAGGACGAGGAGGACGAGGAGGAGAGGAGGAGAGGAGGAGGAGGACGAGGCAGGAGTCAGGAGGAGGCAGGAGGAGGCAACTGACATAAAATCTAACAACCCTCACCTGGCAGGTGGGGAAAAAGTGATGTCCTCACACTGATCGTATCATTTAGCACCACAGATGGCCAACTTCCTTCGTCACGAGAGGCATTGACAAGTCAACACCGCTCCAAGTGAAGGTTGTTCCCAAGGCTGCAAGCGATGGACTTGCGTAGGGCAAAAAGTCCAAACATGTTTCGCTTCCAGGAAGATGCATGCTTTTCATGTGCGAAGTCATGGGATGTAGTTGGACTGCTGCATTCTTCATTTTGATTACTTTAGCCAAGCTGATTCCAGGTCAAAAAGTTGCTGTGCTTGGACTTGACTTCGGCTCTCAGCGGAGTGATTGGCTGTCCCGGACCACGCAATAGGGCCATCGTGGACGTGTGGAACGATGGCAGGCAAGGTGACGAAGAAGACCACAAAGAAGGGGAGCAAGCAGCCTGTGCGGCTCTATGCCAAAGGCGTGATCCTGGGCTACAAGCGCAGCAAGTCCAACTGCTACGCCAATTGCACTCTGTTGAAGATTGATGGTGTCCGCACCAAGGACGACACAAAGTTCTACGTTGGCAAGAGGGTCGCATACGTCTACAAGGCCAAGAAGGAGATCCAGAACTCCAAGTTCCGTGTGATGTGGGGCAAGATTCGTCGTTCGCATGGCAACTCCGGTGTGGTGCGAGCCAAGTTCAACAAGAACATTCCTCCCAAGGCCTTCGGTGCTGCTTGCCGAGTGATGCTTTACCCAAGCTCCATCTGAGAGTCAACATAGTCACCTAGTCCGATTCTCATGTGTCACCTTGCTGAAGAAGGTCCGGTATGCAAACAGAATGCTCGCAGCCAAAAGGATGATGTTTGCAGCTGCAGTAGCTGCTTGTTGCACTCAGCTTCACGCAGACACATACTTGCATGGCAAGGTGTGGCACCACTAGTATGATGCACTATGATGAACTAACTATGCACATATTGTTTAGATGTTTTGAATGTAAGACCCCCAAATCAACTGACAGGGCTTAGTTGATTTGCTGTTGTGCTGTGGCTCCTGTTGCTTTGGTCATTTGTGTTGAATTCAGCAGCAACCTTGCTTGCTGACTAGTTTCAGTTTGCACAGGGTGCATTCATGAGTTTCATGAAAGACACAGAAGCTTCCTTTGCGCAGGTTGGCTCAAAGGGAGGTTGGCCCATAGGTGGAAGACTGGGTTAAAAGTCCCCTCTTTGAAATGGCAGGCAAGGTGACGAAGAAGACCACAAAGAAGGGGAGCAAGCAGCCTGTGCGGCTCTATGCCAAAGGCGTGATCCTGGGCTACAAGCGCAGCAAGTCCAACTGCTACGCCAATTGCACTCTGTTGAAGATTGATGGTGTCCGCACCAAGGACGACACAAAGTTCTACGTTGGCAAGAGGGTCGCATACGTCTACAAGGCCAAGAAGGAGATCCAGAACTCCAAGTTCCGTGTGATGTGGGGCAAGATTCGTCGTTCGCATGGCAACTCCGGTGTGGTGCGAGCCAAGTTCAACAAGAACATTCCTCCCAAGGCCTTCGGTGCTGCTTGCCGAGTAATGCTTTACCCAAGCTCCATCTGAGGGCAAAGCTGCGGGATAAAGTCATTCAGCCTCTGTTTGAGCAAGTGCAGAAAAGATGCGGCTATTTATGATATGCCGCGTTGACTTCTGAGCTTCAGGGTGGGCCCTCCTATATGTCAGGAGTAGCCTCACGTGAAACATTTGGAAACACGCCAGACTCCACTAGACATGCGCCGTGCCTTAGGCTTGGCTCAGGGGGAGCAGGCCATGTCCTGTGGGAACAACAGGCAACATGTGCCCATGGAAACACAATTGCTGCGCACAAGTGTAGGAACACATCCAAACAAAAGATTGACGCTTCATATTTTGGAAGTCCACATTCTGATACTCGCCGCGGGTCCCAACATTTCTGCGGAAAGTGCTAGCAGGCAGGTCGACCGGGTGATAAATTTTTGGCAGGGCTGGTGATGGAAGTGCAGGATTTTAAAAGCGATTGCTTGACATCGATGTTAAATATGACCCTTCAACCACGCTTTGTGTTTATTGGAGCCTAATTTCCAAACATTCATAGTGCAATTCATTTGCCTTGGCCTCCAAAAGTCATATTAATCTAGGTCCTAAGGTAAATATATGATGTAAATATATATATATATATATAAGTAGCAAATAATTGTATATAATACAATTGAATATACCCACCACAAACATGGATAATATTGGATTTGAACGCACAAAGTCCTTTCTATTCCCACTTGGATGCGCATGCCATTTCGTCATTCTTTATTAAACTTGTAACTTGTAATAAATTGATGTAAATTGTACATATTTATACAACATATTAGTACCAACATTTAATGCATGCTGGGTTTCGCCCAGGGTTCCAAGCATGCTTGTTAACATTTATTAAGATTGTCAGCAATATAATCGCCTCCAGGCAATATTCAATGCCCTATTCAAAACCATGGTCTAGTATTGGATCTACTCATTTTCGGGTCCTTTGTGGAACATCGAAGCCATTCATTTTGGGGTCCTCTGTTGTTTTTTCTCTTGTCCCTATTTCAGAATTAGTCAAAGCTCAAAATGAACGGATTATTCCGTCATTATCTGGTTGGTGGTTTGGAACATGGCTTTTGTTTTTCCATAATATATGGGATAACCCTTCCCATTGGCTTTCATATTTTTCAGAGGGGTAGGTATACCATCAACCAGCCATCATTATGCTATGTTAAGCCATGCTTAAACGGTCTTAAACGGCTCAAACCATCATCGCAGCAGTGATGGTGAACCGCTCGACGGGGGACGGGATGACACAATAAAAGCCAGGAAAGATGGCAGATCGACACGCAGCCATGAAGGCCCGGCGGTGAAAAATGTGGAGATAGTTGTATATAAAACTAGTAACAATAATTACTATATATATATATTATTAATTCACATCTCAAGACACACAACACACATTTTTATGATTTTTATGTGTATATATATATGTCCACGTTGGTTCCGGTTGAAACCGGACTTGAATCTAATGATCTCCAGCGGTGAGGATGGGATGACGAGCGCATACCCATGTTCATGAATCCCGTGATATGCAATCCCAAATGAATATATGGATGTTATTCACCATATGTAGCATATTAACATGAACATATGATATTGACATTTATCAAAATGTCAATGTATGATATTGATTATCAACATATATATTAAGATGTAATATTAACACATTAAAATATTATCATGGGTCAACATGTATATATATAGTATTAGCTTGTATTAACATATAGTATTAACATATGTATCGACATGTAATATCAACATACAACATTAGCAAACAATATTAACATATGATATTAACATTTAAGAAAAATAGATAGAACAGTATTGACATTTGATATTAACATATTATATTATTTTGTTTCTTTAAACAACCATATTATATTAACATATTACCATTTTATGTTACAATATTATACTAACATTTTATATTGACATATTATTTTTTATATTGACATATTATTTTAACATATTATTTCAACATATGATATTAACATATAATATTAAGATATGATATTAACATATAATATTAACATATAACATTAACATATAATATAAACACATAGCATTAACATATAATATTAACATATGTTCACATGTATTCAGCATATATTAACAATATGTTTCATCTTAACCAACCACAAGATTTTGGATTTGGAACCCTGCTCGCTGTTCCCATTGAGGAGAATCAGCCTCCATGTGATTCCAATGCGAAGAAGCAGGCGGGCTCATTCTGCAGCATTCTGCATTCATCTGACATGATATATATATATATATATTATACACATCTTTTTAATATGATACAGTATGATAATATATATATATATTATATCAATACAGAATATACATCATATGTGTATATATATATATACAATATGTATTGATGAGTACACTAAAAACTAGATGTAGCCGTATACAACGCGGTAGCGGCTGGCGGGCTACTCCAAGGTGGATGCTGACAGCCCTCAGCGAACGGGAACCTTTCCCGTGAAAAACACCTTCATCCACTTCGGGAGCCCGGATTCAAGGACGGATGAGTACAACGCTTGAGAAAACGCTTTTGGGAACTGTGAACAAATGCAACAATATTCATAATATATATATATGTATATGTAGTAATTATGTTATTTAAATGCTTTCTTTCACATCCTGAATAAACGTTCCAGAATAGACATTAAGTGGGCTGTTCTGATTGGACAAGGAAAGCTCTGTGTCAGCAGTTTCATTGGGCTCGCTTTGTTGGGTGGCGAAAGTATGTTAAGTTGTTTTTCATTTCTCGCGACAATGGCTCGTCAAAGTCATGTGCCACGTCCACTACTTCGGGAATCTATCTATATATGTTATGTATATATATATATATAGGATATTTTTATAGATTTTTGGGATTCCTCAAGCAAATCCAAGTCTGTTTTGTTCATTACAGAAAACCTCTTGGTCCATAGATCTCCGTGGTGTGTACACCACTTTGGGGTGCATCCCAGGAATTGGGATGATAGCCTTGTAATAGCCTTCTTATAGCCCACTTATGTATATATACATATATACGCATATATATATATTATATATATATGTATTTATATATGTATACAGTATATGAATCTCCCCAGTTAGAGAAATTTGGTTCCAGACTATGATACCTGGGTCGTGTTAATCCAAGTATAAGATTCTTGGTTTATAATTATAACACACAATATATTACAATAATAACAATAATAATAATAAATAAATATATATATATGTATTCCTATTAATGTGGTAAGGCCACTAATAAACCATCCCCAGCCATGCTAGTTGTGGCAGGCTATCCATGCCCATTCACACCCAGTCGTTGCAGGACGCCTGCGGGCAACCGCGCCTTGGCAACGCCCAAGACCGTGCCGCCGCATTTCGCTCCGCACGAAGCGGACGCCAGCGGAGCGCCCATGTCCTCCGCTCCGCTGGGGCCCCTGGGATTGGGATCCTGCCGACTTCGGGCCAAGACCCAGCCATTGGGGATTTCAGCCTAGGAACAAAAGGAATTGTCATGGATTTTACTACTGAATGGATTCGGGGGTGTTTGAAAATGAGAAACATGGGAATCATCAAGAATGGAGGATTCACCAACTGAAATAATGGTTTACCCATCAATAATAAGGTTTTTTGTCAGTTACTAGTGGATTTGGCTGCCATGTCTTTTCAATGGATCTTTCCAGGGCTGACTATTCGGGAAGCTGACCCAGTTCATGGAGCCGGTACAGAGTTCATCGTTGATGAATCTCCGGCTTTTTTCATTGATCTTTCTTAGTGATTAATTGGTATACCATCTACGGATCCGCCAAACCATATAACGATATACAACGTATATTATATAATATATATGTATACACACCATTTGGTAATTTAACATAACTATAGAACATAAACATCATAAACATACATAAACCTTCTAATGGGTAAATCATGTTTATGGGCCATCTATACCATAGCAAACCGTTAAATTACCAAAGGGTATAAAAATTATTTGGCGATTCATATTCCATGTATTTCATTTCGCGTTATTTGAGATCGAGTTGTGTCATGGTTGATTAAAACCCCATATATTATATGTATAGTACCACATGGTGATTACCCTCCTGTAAACATCAAGAGATTGTGGAATACCCACCATGAACGTAGATCATGTTCCGAAACAAGAAAAACCGTGGGTTAAGACCGTTTTCCAGGTCTTTTTGTAACCGTAAACATCCCTATATGGTAACGTAAACCCCTGTATGGTGGTAACGAAAAAAAAACCGGTGGGTAGACCGACAAGATCCTCAGCGCTGCCAGGATTGCTCCACTGCGTTTGTTTGACTTCTTGCCAAGTCCGCAGGTGCCGAGCCGAGTCCGGTGAGTAGCGAAAGTTTTTTCAGGAGGTTCCCCAAGAACATCCTATAACTAATGGTAAAAAACCCTGGTTTCCTGCAGATTTTCCCTTAAACTTCCATTGAAATAGTGATTTAAGATGATTTAAGCTGTAAACATGGCAATATAAGCCAGAGATGATGATTAGTTGTGATGGTGAAGGACTTTTGTGGCAGCAAATGATTAAAACAACGAAATAAGGGATATGTACATTCAGCCAAGCTTGCAACTCTCATTATCTAAGCAGTAGAAGAGAATAACAGACGGAGATTTGGGCTCTGCTAAGATGTTGATGATGCCATGATTTGTGATGTTTCGATATTTGGCAGTGGCAGACATCTCATTGAATGATTGTCACAGTATATATAGGTATTAGTAATATGTTAGGTAAATAAACCCATAAGAATAATGACATGGATTCTACTATCAGATTGATATACCAGATAAAATCATCATATTAGGTTATACTACCTATTAGGTTATACTACCTAGTCATATTAGGATCGTTATGACCCATTTTGGGAACCCCATTTTCACACAGCGCAATGTAGAAGTCATCCCAAAGACGTCTTGTTAGGGGTCAGTTTAGTACCCGAATCAATGCCAAAATGGCTGGTAAATGGATATATATAATTATATATATTATTATATATATGTATATATATATATGTATATATTATATATTAATATATATATCTGGTGCGAAAAGGTTTCGATCCGTGCCCGTATCATACTTTACCAGATGTATGCAAATGTTACTCTGCAGACGGATCTCGCACAGCATGACGTTCATGCTCTAACTACTTGAATGATTTGGGGATACCCCCACCCAAGAAAACGACCCAAGGTGTGAGAAGTCAATCCAGCCACCCAAGAAAGAGGGACATGTGGGAAAATCGCTTTGGAAATCATACCCATACCATCCATGTAAAAATCATAATGCAACATTTAGCTACACGAATGAGTGATTCTGCTGGCTTGTATTGTGTAGCAAACTAATCATGGATGATTTGGCACCACAAACATGTGCAGGTGACCAACAAGGGGACTGCTGGACCTACCATTCCCGCTGGGCAAGTGGGGCAAGGGCCACAAGGGCCGCAAGGGCCGCAAGGGCCGCAAGGGGCCTCAAGTGCGCAACTTCCATTGCAGGCGGGGCCTGGGCTGCCAAAATAAGAATAGCAACATTAATCAACTATGCTCAGCCATACTCATAATACATTCATCAACCATGAATCAACCATGAATCAACCACTAATATCCAAATCAACCATAAATCAACCATAATCAAGTTCTATTTTATTGGATAGAAGATGGCAAAATTCGCGGCTCTGTGGGTCCCATTTGTATCAGATCTGTCAGCTCCAGGCTACCAGGATACCATGGGATAGCCACATAAAAAAAAACTGTGTCGAAATCCGGGGTCCTTGTCTTTTAGGCAGATGTCTTAAATGGGTGGTGAACATTTTCAGTCCTTTTCTTGGGATTTTCCACTAGATTTTCCCGGATAATTGACCCTCATGTTTTTTAGCCTCAATTTTTTCCAGATCTCGGGGGGGCGATCCAGTTTCAAATCATTTATTGGATTTTATAAAGGTCATACTCCCAGCAATTGCCTTTTGACCCACATTTGTTCCTTTACGAAAAACGTTGTCTCCTCCGCTTTCGGTTTGTAGATAGTTATATATATAATAGTTAAGTATGATATAGGATAATCGGGATAGAATATGGACAGAACATGGATTTGATATGGACATAATATGAACATCATATGGATATAGTGTAATATTATACTCATTAGACAATTTCTTTGTATTTCTTCATCTTTTGTTGAGCATCTCAGTGGACTCCGAATGGAACTCCATGGAGCCTCCAGGCAGAGACGATCACTGCCATGGCGGCATTTCATGCAGTTCATGTGGGAGGGCCCAAGAAATTTCAGACATCGCTGCAAGAGATTTTCAGGATTTTCACGAAGATAACACCTGCCCGTTGCTCAATGGCCTATATAACAGACCTCTGTGAGGTAACGATTTTTTTAAGGACATCCCATGATCCAACATGATCCATTGATCCCCCAAGTCGCCAAGTGCCACTTTTAGGGGACGTATAGGCATTTAGCAGCTATTTTAAGGTGTGCAAGCCAGGGTACCAGGGTTTTTTCACCCATGCCCAATATAGTGAAAAAGCAGGATATACCCACAACATAACAAGTTTTATTTGCTATGCTGGTACGGTTCAAGTCTTAACATGGTATACCCACCCTTATGACTACCAACTCTTTTTGGCTCTTCCATAGCTTTCTACTTGTTGTTCATGTGTTTCATTGTTTTTCCATGGTTTATCGTCTTCTTTTTCCCACTAAGTAGCTATAAGTGACAATGTGTTGTCCGCTAGCTATCAGCTATTCTTGGTGTTGTTGTATCTATTTTCATAGCTGGAAACTACTTTTCATAGCTGTTTCCATCCAAATATCCATGTGTGCCATGGTAAAATCTTGGATACTCATTATAAGGTGAATTCCTGGAATTTTCGTGCCAGGATGACCTCAGTCAAATTGCCAAATGGCCTTGTGACAAGAGCTAATTTCAGATCAGTGAATTAGTAGAATTCAGCCAAAATCTATAATCTATTGTTCATCATGTATTTTTCATTGGCGGCCATCAGTACCCCTATCATCATCTGTTGTTAGGTTAGTGAACTCTAAAATAATCCCACACCGTGTTTATATTAAGCACCCCACAAGAACTGGTCCATACTTGTCCTAAATATGTGGTTTCATGCCGTACCCAAACCATGATTTTGTTTGGAGGTGTTTCATATGAACTGGGGAAGGGGTTCTATACCATTGAATCACCGTTAAATCACCATGAAATCCCATTAAATTACCATGAAATCAACGTTATCAAAATTTATCAACATTAAATCATCCTTCATTTCCATATATTTCCATATATTTCCATATATTTCCATATATTTCCATATATTTCCATATATTTCCATATATTTATTGGTTGATGAACCAACCATCATATCAGCCAGATACCAACCATCACGATGGAAAAACACGATCTCCTGGCATCAAGGCGATCTTCTCAGCCATGCCGCCAACGGTTCCTTCGGCGATGCCGCCCCTTCCACAGCTGGGCGGCTATCAGGCGGAGCGGAAATCCTATGGAAATCCATGGGGAAGCCGTGGTCTCCCTAGAAATGGTGGATTTCTTATAGGTCTGTTAGCTTGAGGGTAAATTATGTCAGTCATCAGCTATGTTTTTTAAGTAGATAATCAGTGTTTGTAGTTATTGATGGTTAGCATGAAGTATCAAAGATTGGAGTTTTTGTTGCAATACTTATAATTACTGATGTTGTTTATCATTCATTGTTATTGTTACTACATTGTTATTCAGTAAATATATTTATTATTGTTCAGTGTTAGTCATGACTATTCACTATTATTGACTATTTCTTATCATTATTCTTTATTTATTATTATTCATTATCACTCATTATCATTCATCATTATTCATCACTATTCTCATTATTATTCTCATTATTATTGATTTTGATTGATTATTATTCATTATTTTTGATTATTATTGATATATTATTGATCATTATTGATTATTATTGATTATTATTGATATATTATTGATCATTATTGATTATTATTGATTATTATTCATTATTATTCATTATTATTCATTATTATTCATTATCAGTTATAATTCATCACGATTTACTATTTTTCATTATTGACTATTATTCATTATTGTTCATTATTATTCATTATTGATTATTATTCATTATTGATTATTATTCATTATTATTCATTATCAGTTATTTTTCATCACTATTTAGTATTATTCATTATTTACTATTTTTCATCATTATTCATTACTATTCATTATTGATTATTATTCATTATCGATTATTATTCATTATTATTGATTATTATTCATTATTATTGATTATGATTGATGATTACTGATTATTATACATTATTCTTAATTATTATTCATTATTCATGTTTTATTTTTGGTTATCATTTGTGATTGTTCATGTTTATTCATTATTATTCTTATTATTATTTGTTGTCATCATTCTATCATCGTTTTTGAAATTATCATTCTAATTATCATTCAAATGTTCTTCTTATTGTTTCTATTGTTATATTGTTGATGTTGTTAGCGCTGCTTGGTTGTTGCCATTGTCGCTGTGACGTCAGGCACAACCACAGCAGTACATGTGGCCGGCGGAAACCTCCCAGCCGCAAAGCTGATCTTTTCCCGGGGGAGTTTCGGGAATCCAACAAAAAAAATATGGTTATTAGTGGTTAATAATAGGTTAATAATAGGTTAATAATAGGTTAATCATGGGATACTTACTGAGAAAAACCCTCTGGTCCAAGATGGCTAGCGAAATCCCTCATGGTTTGCTGGGTTTTAATCATCAGTGGATTCTCCAGCAAACCATGGATTACCAGAGGCTGCCCTTCTTTGTGGTTGCTTGTTGTGGATTGATGTGGATTGCACAATAAGATCAATAAGGATACCCAGGATACCTGTCAATAAACCGGTATGTATATATATAATGTATATAATGGGGTGGGATAGGGGTATTTTTCATGGCTCACAACCGGCCTTTTTTCACGTTTCTACACGGATATTGTTTTGGTTCTTAAATGGACGTTTTGTGTCATCCCTCCACTGTCAGCTGGTTAAGGTTCCAACATGTTCCATGACTGGACCATTGGAGGTGGACCTTAGCCAGAGACGAAAAAGCAGACGATTTCAGTCCAATTTGGCACTTGTCATCTCAGTTCCCATTAGGTCTTCTTAACTTTTGGCGTTTTTCGGAGATCTTCGGAGTTCTTCGGAGAGCCAAAAACGCTGTTTGCCAGCCATTTGCAGCCAGAAAACCGGAAAACCGCAGCCCAGCCCACCAGCACCAGCGCCTTAGGCCAGACATGTCGGGGCTGCCTGGAACAATGCAAGAGATGCAGGTCATGCCCGATGGAGGCTTGAGTGGGACTCATCGGTGAGCAGGTGAGCAGGGGATAGCTCTGATTTCTTTTTTTTCCGGGGGGAAATATATGGAAATGTGATGGACATATAATACATATGGAAATGTAGTCAAAAGCAACGGCTACTGTCATGACATATATGGAATGACAATAATTACAATATAGGTCAAAGCGTGAATATAAGTTGATAGGGTGTTTGAAGAAGCGGTGAACCCCCGAACGAATAAGAACGACACCCCGATGGCCCTTTTCGTTGCATATATCATCTTTTCTTGAGGGAGCAGCATGATTTCGTGAAATTATATTGAAATGAAACAGACCACTGTGAAAAAACTGAAACGCTGTTGTCTTTGGGGCTAGCAAGTGACATGCAGCAGCCCAGTTTAGTTGAATGATGTTGAATGCAACTAATATGAATTTTGTCTGAAAGTTTTTGGTTTCCCTATGATAATTTCTCATAAATTGAGGTATATCCCATTGTTCAGACACACCCATATCTTCATTTCAGCTTTTTTTGGCCACATTTGGCCACCCATGTTGGGAACCCAAGGCGGCTTCGATGATTGGTCAGCTTGGAACTGGAACCAAGGTGCGGATCATTTCGACAGATTTTGATCATTCCGTAACTATCATCTATAGATGATAATTAGATATTATATTATATATAAATACATTTATTGTGTATATGTGCATACATTATATATATATGCATGAATTTATATATGGGACTAATATTCCTAGGATCATTGTTTGGTTGCCCTATAGCCTTGTGGAAGACACGCCGACACGCCGGCCTAGGTGAGCCAGACGGCTACTTGGGAGTGGCACAGCAAGACAGCTGGGATTTGGAGCGTTACGATGAGGCGGATGGCTGCGGCAGCCATCAACGTGAATATGATACCCTCCAGGTGTCATCAAACATAGCAATGGGACATCCTCGAACTATTCATGGAGGTTTTGTTGTAGGAACAACTTCTATATTTTCCATTGCCAGTCTAGAATATGGTTATACATAAGTCGAAACCCTGGCACACTGGAATGATTATTAGTAGGGGTAATGATCCTCCAAAAGCCTTATTTCAGTATACATATTATGATTTATCCAGAATCATCATAGAATATGTTCGTAAATGACATGTACCAACCAGCATAGAACATTTCTTTTCATACAGCGGTTTATGAGGCTATTCTGTTAGCGGTCTTTTTGATTTTCTTAGGCCCATGGACATCAGTGGCAGGCACCCACTGGTTCATCCATCCAAAGAATCAACACCAACAAAAATCCATAAAAATACCATCAAGCACTGCACCCACAAATGTGCAAAGAGATGTTTCTGGATTCCTAAAAGGGTTTTCCATTGGCTATTCCCAGTTGGTCAGATTTCAACAAGAAGGCCCACCGCAAGATAGCCCCTTTTTTCCACCCTAAGATCTGTGGTTTTGATTTGAGTAAATCATCCCATGGTGCTTTGCCAAGCGGGGTCACGGCTCATAATATGGAGATTGGGGCCGTGAAAATCGATATTACTGGATACTTACTATGCTGGTTGGTGGTTTCAAACATGAATTTTATTTTCCATTTCATATATGGGATATTATGAGATAATCCTTCCCATTGACTTTCATATTTTTCAATATGGTTAAAACCACCAGTATGTATCAGCCAACAGCCCAGTGATTGACATCCACTGACTCCATCGGATCCCTTGAGCCGACACATTGGCAGGTCTGAGCAGCGATCTACAGGGCCGACCGTTGGCGGAATCCACGGAAACAAACTTCCGATTGGCACCGCACAAAAAGAGTCTGAACTGCGAAGACACGCCGCGATATTTTTGGGAAAAAACACGGACAGTCTTTACCCCTAGGCTTGAAGGTTTCACAGTTTTCTCAACTCCGTAGTCCTCCAAGTCGCTGGCACGTTTCCACGGACCGCGCAACGGCACTTTTCCCAGCGGTGTGTTGTTTCTTTGGTGAGGCCCGGAGTTGGGGGTTGGGATGTACACTACCAGAGGATTGAGGGAAGCAATCCTGGCCTCCGGGAGGCAACAAAAAGGTGCGTTGCACTGGGCCATCGTTGGGGCCATGTGGTGGATGATCTGGATGGGTTGAATCCACCGGTGGGGCCTGTTTTTGAGTGGGATGAGTATCACTTGAAGCAACGCTCAAAGAGACTACACCCTGCAGCTGTTTGAGATACCAGGGTGCAGGGGTGTTGAGATACGATAGATGCAATACGTGGCAGACAATACACATGTTGCATTGTTGGGCATGTACAAATACGCGTACGTATTACATACCTACCACGTGCTCTGCAAACATCTAAAGTACCTGCTAAGAAGTGAAGTATCGATCTACATCTCTAGATATTTTTACTTGACCATTTACAACCTATAATACATATATTTGTGCTTTTTCTGCCAAGTGAAGCAATAACATGAAAACTATGGCATGCAAGTTTCTACACTTTTTAGCTGTTCAGACCAATCATTCGTGAGAAAGCACTCCATCTTGCGATGGGTCTCTTGGGCAATCCACATGAAGATCCTGGTCACGCCGAATCCTGGGGCATCGTCCGCTGCTCAGACCTTTATTAATCAAACTCAATGGGGGACGATACTTTGGTCCAATGGAGAAGATTTACCCTAGGGTAAACTCACATATATATGGAAAACTCATGGTTTCGCTCGGAAAATCATCTACTTTCATGGTGGATTTTTCACATTCCTCTGTAGACGTTGGTCCCCGCAGGGGCCCAGGGGCCCCCATCCAATTTTTTTCAGAGTTCGACCCTGCCATGCCTCGGAGGTTCCGAACGACTACATTCCTCTAGAGAAATATTAATGGTTACTAATGGTTATATAATGGATATAATGGTTAATCATTAATGTTTATATACCCTTTGGCTATTTAACGTAACTATGGTGATTTGTGCCCAGTTGTAGCTGATTTATGATGATTTACCTATGACCTAAATGGTGATTTTCCGGGTGGCTACGTTAAACCAACGGAGGGTATAGTAATTCTCAGTGTCAACATGTTGGGGGATGAACATGATCAAAGTTGGGACACAGTGGAATGCTTTGATGGATCAATTGATGGGATATGAAGAAGCAACCAAAAGTACTGGGTCAACCTTGATCTGGGTACCAAAACGGCACAAAACCCTCAATTTTGATGAGGCACATTATATCACATTATGACAATACATGAGATTTCGAGTTCTAATTTTTGGATAACCCCATGTGGTACAGTGACGAAGGTTTTAGTCACAAATGGTGAAACATCTGGAATTTGAATGAATTTGATATCTTAATGGAACCCCGGTGCAAACTAGTTTGATCGTCGCGTGGAGTGCATCACGCGGGAGCAAGATCCCGCCATCGGCTATGGCCCCATTTTTCCGAACCCTGGACCCCGAAGTCCACGCGCTTGGTCTGTTCCATCGATGGTTCACATCTCATGGCCCATTCCTCCCAATTGGGGTCCCTGGACTCGTAAACCCTTGCTGATTCAACTAAGGTTGAGGATGTGCTGCTTAAATGTTCATGGGAAAATCTGCAGGACATGTATTTTTCCAACCCATCCAGTGATATCCCGGATGATATCCCCATCATCTCCCCGTTTTTTGTTGCCTAAATCACCATGTTTGATGGTTAAATCACGTGAAACATCTCCCTTTTCGCCATGGTCCCCCGCATTCCCCCATGGCACACAAAGGGTGACGTTTCACCGCCACATCCGCCACGGCAGGTGGCCCAGAGCAGTTTCCGCGGCTTGGTAAGCATTGAAGATGTCTTTGACGCTGCTCAGGCGCAACTTTCAGGGTGATTCTAATCATCAAACAATGGCATTTGAACCAAGAAAACAGGAGAAAGAATGGGGCGTCATGGGATATACTTGAAAAAAACGGACATTTAAATATATGTATACGACTATGCTTTTTTTTCATGATTTAACACCTGACAAGATCCCAATTGTTGGTTAACGATGGTCGTTTGTAACCTTCACATCCTACTATTTATTTGTCCTGATTTCCTGCTTTACTCCCAGACTCTGGTGGCTAACTTACCTGTCAATTTTTGCGTGTACCTACTACGATGAGGATGACATGACTGATTTTTTCTTACAATAATATACAATAATGACTCACTCTGCTTTGTTTCAACCATTTTGGGATTTCCTCAAAAAAATATTAAGGTACCATGAAAAATGGAAAGCTAGATAGAAACAATGGCAAACAATGACCAAGTTTATGCGTTTTTGGTACCATCTTTGTTGGTTCAATGATTACAGTAAATCTCTGGTGTTGAAACCATACCCATGGGTTTTGCGTTTCAAAAAGCTCATGTGAACCCCATGCAAATAGCCATAGAATGGGTGCATGTCCCATTTTCATGCCCAAATTGGAATGGTTGATTGTATTATATGTGCTACGGCCAAAACATTATTTATATAGCTTTATTTATTTTGCCATAAAAGGAGATGGACATCCCCCCATTGATAGGGACTATATATATATATACTACTGTATAATATGTAAGATCCTGGTAATGATAAAGACTGCCATGATTTTCAATTGTAAAACACCAATTCAGTAAAACAACAATTTTAAGATTATAACACTATCATATACCCACTAAATCAGCTAAATCCTTATTTTTTCATGGTGTAAACCCAAAATTATTCCAATTTTTCATGGTTAAACACTGCACAACATTTTCCCATGCCTTCCTGGAAAAGGAACTACCCCTGTCCAGGCCTCAAAGCCAATGCATCTTCGCGAAGCAGCCAAGAGGCGCTTTGGAGAGACAGCTCCTCGGCAGATAGCATTGGATACCCATGAAACATGGTGATTTCATGTGAATAACATGGGAATATCATGGGGATCCTTAGCATTTTTTACATGGGGAGATGAATGAACTTGATGGGGATTAACCAAACATGATGGGAATGAAATTATTATTAGTTATTAGTTTTAATTGTTATTATTATTACGTAATAACAACTATATATTATTGATTATATTTAACAAATTTACCCTGTGTCATCATTGCCATGGCGGGCCGCTAGGAAATCCCCCATAAAAATGGTGGTTTCAGCTGGGAAGATCATCAAACTATAGCCGGGTCAAGCAAGTTACGTTTGAATACCAGAGGGTAAAAACTATTAAAAACTAAACATCACTCACAACTTCAAAAGCTGAGGGTCCACATTCAGAAGATTTCAAAACGTAGGGGAACAAGCCCGGTTGCGTTCGGTCAAAAGATTGGGGGATCCGGGATCCGCTGCAGTTTCGGAAGTTGTGGCCCAGGATCAAAAGCTAGGATTGCATGATTTTCGCTTTTGTTGGCCATGCTTCCATTTATCAAAAGGGACAAGCGGCCGGATATTTTGAAGCATAATTAATTACCATGGATCTGTTCCGTGGACTACGGCCAAAGCTGAAGTCAAGTGTGCAATAAATGTGTGCAACCCTCGAGGAAAAGCAGCGTGGTGAGCGAGAAGTCAAAGAAGGCAACAGTGCAGGGACAACAGTTGGTAGCTCCGCAAAATATGAAGGGTCAAGCAACAAACTTGATATCAAACTTGCATGTTTCACCATCATAATCAAGTTTGATGTGGATTCATCCAACATGATATGGGGATAGTATAGTATATAGGTGTATAGAATATATTGTAGGCATGGGTCAAAAATTCGAACTCGGAGACGGGAGATTCTCACCATCAACAAAGGCACCATAGTATTGGGCAGTAAGAAATCATTTCTTTGACTAAGAAATGACAATATAAAATCATATAAACACCACAGTATTTCTAAACTTAAACAACATTTAACCAAGAATTGGTTCAAGATGCGCAGGGACCGCAGGGACCATCAGGGACCCCAATATTTGATAGTTGAAAATCTTAGTTTCCGGATTCGATTTTCCCTTCGACAATTGAACTTCATATTTGTTGGTTATTGTTATTGGTTAAATACCGGATGGATTTTTGATAATTTTCGGACTTTTTCGGATTGTTCATTCTTACGGTTGCCAATGTTTGCTGGAAAATCATGGAAAGTCCCATCCCCCATACTGTATTAAACACACCCATTGTATGGTCCCAAATATGTGGTTTCATCCCCTACACCATGATTTCTGGGAGTGTTAAAATATATTGCACTCCAGCAAACTAACGTAGCTATGGAAAATGGGCCATTTACATATGATTACCATTGATTACCTATTAAACATGTCGATTTCCAGTTCGCAAACTGTTCTGGTAAACCGGGGGTATCCCCATTGCTTCCCATATGTTCCCATAGAAATTCCATTCGATGATTTTGTTGATGGTTTCATTCTTGTTGGTGAAATCAAATGTGAGTTTCCCTCCATGGTTTTATCCACTGGATGAATCGGCGCGGCGCGAGGCCAGGCATATTTTGCCAGCCATGGACTCAACATCCGACCATCAAGGCCAGGACCATCACCGGAACGACTTGATTTCAGTTGGTGATTTTCACATCTTTGAGATCCCTGGTCCATCATCAACATCAACATCAACATCAAGACCACAATCATCATCATCATCATCATCAGCCCCAGCGTCATCATCGTCGTCGTCGTCGTCGTCGTCGTCGTCGTCGTCGTCGTCGTCATCGTCATCGTCATTACCTCCATTCACAAATTTGGCTTTGTGAAAAAAATGCATACTGGTAAAACTGTTCCAGGGCCAGATTAGGAACCCATATTATACCCATTGTACACCATGTAGAGTCATGTAGTTTTGGCGGTGTTTATGTCCCTATGTTTGCTAGTCAATGCCCCAATTCAGGACAAAAACCATGTGGATGTTTCCTAAAACAGTGGACCCCCACAACACCCACGTTGTTTGTCAAGGGGGGAACCAATGCTTTAGGGCCCCAAAGGATAGAGCCACGATGGGAACTGGGGGTTGAACAGTTGAACCATCTCAATTTTCGAAGGATTGAAATCTTACATGGAAATCATTGAAACACCCAGAACAACATCAGAAACACCCTCAAATTTCGTCAATTCACAGCTGCAACGCGCAAAAAGCCAAGGGCCAGCTGCGGAAGTCGCGGTACCTTGGTTCAAGAAAACTTGGTTTTGCATATTTTTTGAAGGTCAAACATTGAGGATTTTTGGTTCAACAACACCGAAATGGTGTGTTTTTTGTGGTTATTTACAATAATAAACCACCCATTCGTGAATGGTTTATACCACCTATAAAAATGGTCATTTGGGGGATGGTTTGCTATTGTTTTACTATAACATTAGACCAAATTCGTTGATTGGTGAGTTTCATTTTTCGATCTGGGGAACTTGGAAATGAGACGCCGAGATCATCTCAGCACTGAAGATCCAAGTGGCCTGGTTGGCATATATACATACACTATATGATTTTAATATGGTATAATTATCATATATCCATAAAACATGTTTATGGATTTTTATGGATCTATGATATTAATAGATGAACATATATAAGCACATACATATATGAATATTTGAATGTAGAAATGCATGTTAACATATATATATATATGTATGGTCCCGTGTCCCGTGTTCCCCCCCCCCCAGGGGTGGGGGGGGGTATGAGTTAGCCTGTTGCTCCCCCGTCTTTCTCATCTACCCACCCAGATTATGATACAACCAAATTCTATGGGGTAAATACTAAAGACAGGGGAGCAACAGCTTATAGATAATAATAAAACCAATAATATAAACCATAACAAACAAATAAAACAAAACAAAACAAAACAACCTAAACGATACAATAGACCATAAAACAAACCTTACCATAAACCATAGCAACAAACCATACACTTAACCTCATTCAAAAGCCTATTGTAAAGCCTATACCTATGAATGGACTTTAAGATAGATTATGAAATAATTTATCTATAAAGCCACATCCCAGCAATGGTAAAGCCAATACATAAAAATGAATGAGAAGAAGAAACCATCTAAAAACAATTCATTTGTTAAATAGCCCGTATTCAGTATCCGAATTCACCCGTATTCAGTATCCGAATACTCCCGTATTCTGTATTCAGTATCCGAATACGCCATTATTCGGTATTCAAATGCTGAATACCCCGTATTCAGCTGAATACGCCCTTATTCTGTATTCAAATGCTGAATACGTCCATAGGCTCAATACCCAATGTCCAGCCCTTAGACATCCCAATGTCCAGCTCTTAGACATCCCAATGTCCAGCCCCTATACCTTATGAGCCCAAGTAAGACCCCCCTATCCTACCTTATGAGCCCTTTTTCCAAGTAGAAAATGAACATCCTACCAAGTAGGAAATCAAAATCCTACTTCACAAAGAAAAGTAGGAAATCAAAATCCTACTTCAAGACCACCCTTTTTCAAGTAGGAAATCAAAATCCTACCCAGTAGGAAATCAAAATCCTTCTTCAAGGCGCAGTATTTCAGTGGCAAGGCGCAACTATCTGAAACATACAACATTTACAGCATTCAGTATTTCTTCTACCAGTTCTTGACGGATTTTATACAAATCAGTCTGTGAATGAAAAACAGGATTATCCCCCCAGTCGGCTTTGGTTTTTGAGGGTAAGCGTTGTGCTGTTTCTTTATGCCTCTTCCCATCCATACTATCACAATCCTTTTTACAAAGAGGTCTGGGTGTCCAAGTGTCCAAGTTAGTCCAGAGCCTCGTTCTTTTCCTGTAATTAAAGCCATACATACAATAGTCAATATCAAAGTATGGAAGCCCTTTCATAAACTCCTGCTCTTTCAAAAGCCCACTTTGCGGATTTTCTATCAGCCATATTCGCGGATTAAAGTAGTTGATTATCTCAAGCGTTTTCAAAACTATTAGGTTAGCTTCATCTATTTTTCGCACACCGACGGTTTTAGCCCTACTATATTCAATACAAGGGGGAGATGCGTGTATCATATCAAAGTATTTCACTGGATATGTTTTGTATTTCCATTGTAGTATGTCGCAGTTTATATCAGCCCCTTTCAAATCTAATGACACAACAGTCCAGCCAAGCGCACTCGCAACAGTTCCCACACTGCCGGTTCCGCTAAACAATTCTAACAATTTCAAATTTATATATACATATATATAGATATAAAATTTCACCTATTCACCCATCACTTTGAAGACTTCACCATCCCTTTCAATCTTGTAAAATCCCAGAGTGGATGCCTTAGGCATTTTTATCTTGCCTTCATTCAGCATTTTCAGATACTGCTGTTGCTTGGTTTCAAAAGTTCCTACAGGTCTCCCGATTTTTTTAGCCTCAAAGATTTTTTCAATCCTTTCCTTTTCAGCATCAGCATCATTATTTTCAGCAGGTTTATTTTTCACTATTATATCAAGTTTTTCTAATGCCTTGTTCATTAAGTCCAGCAACACCTTCACATTCTTGTTGTATCTTGTCATCTTGTTCAGCATCTCTGCCATTTCAGGCTGTTTATCATCTAAATCAGACATTTCTATATATAGTTATTTAGATATTCATTTATTTATCAGTTCAAAGTGTGTTAGAATCACTCTTTAAATAGTTTCAATCCATATCATTTATTGCCATTTGTCCTTTACTTCTGGGGGTAGTAGCCATTACATCCCGTATCATATTGTTAGTGCTTTCGGTTTTCTTGTCTTCAGGGGTGATTTGCCGGTTCCACGAAAAGCTGATGCTGTGGTCTTCACTCTCTAAAACTATCTCCCCGTTGTCATCCCTGCTGACATTCATTGTCTTGTCATTTTTACTGATTTTGAATGAACACGGATTACACTTACATTTTATTCCCTTGGGGTTGATTTCAATTTCATTTCTTAACTGAAGTTTCCCCAGACACAGTGGGCAATCAAAGGTGATAAATTTGCTTGTTAGTTTTTGCTCCTCATCTAAATTGATTGTAGTGGGTTCATCATCTGATAGTTCAAAATCTTCAGGTATTGGTTGCTTCTTCATTTTACTACTCATCTTTGGTTTCACTTTCTTTGGTTGCATTTATATAATACCTAAGATAATTTATTATTACTTTGAGAAACTCCAGAATTACCCTGAATATCAGTTTAAGTTTATATTCTTTTACAATTGGAAACTTAGTATCATCAATGACACTATCTTCAATCACATCTATTGTATTGATATAACTATCAAAAACTTCACAACTGCTCATCCTATATAATTAGATGATAAAATTATTGCTATCTAATTATCTAATTATATATGGATTTTTAGGCGCAAACAAGAATCCATAAGGGGCGGTAAATGTCAAAAGAAAATGGACTGTGCTGATTGAAACATAGAGTGAGTTTTTCATGGCACGGATGACACGCACAAATCTGAGAAGTGTAACATAGCCCGTACGACTGCAGGGTACCCTTGAGCGGTTCAAAACTGAGTTTGGTAGCGGAGCCCTGGATTGGGGCCCGTTGCCTGGGGCGCCGGCCGCGCCTGCCATTCGCTCGGTGGCTGCTGCCGCGTTGCGGCTGCCGTGTGCGCGCGGCTGGGCTGTGGCGAACGAGCTCTACAACCGGGACATCGTGGACCTGGTGGTGGTCACGGCTGAGCCGTGTGGCCTCTGCTTGGACGCGGCCTGGGACTACTTGGTGACCCTCCTCTACTGGCTCTTCGTGGCTTTGCCTTGCTTTGGTGCTTTGGTGGCCGAGGTCATCATCCTGAACTTTGACAACATCACCATCGACCTTCTGAGCTTTGTGCACATCCTCCTCCACACCCTGGACATCGGCAACATTGTGACCCTCTTGGCGACGGCTTTCATTGGTGGTTGTTGCTGCTACTTGGTCCAGTTCAACGGCATCCGGAAGAAGTTCAACGTGCTCTACATCTTCTTCCTTCTGGTGGCGATGAACCAGCCTCCGACGGGAAGCGGAACAGTGCCACTACAAGAATACCGACGTGATATACCACCAGGATGGATGCCGGGCAACCCGCAGTATCCACTTCGCGAGTACCTGGAGAAGCTGAGGTTATGGTACCGCATTGCCGGTGTGGAGGACGAGATGATTGGACCCTGATTGCAGGGAGACTCTATATATGGAAGGGCCTCGAAATTGGCCATGGCGTTGCGAGTTCCTCGACCTGACGGAGCAATGGACGTTGGGGACGCTGCTTTGGTGAGATTGGCTGTGGACGAGGTGCACGATCCTGCCACAGGTCAAGTTCTTCAACATCACATCCCCAGCGGCGTCCAGTTCCTCATCAACGCCCTCAGACAGGCCTTTGGACAACAGGATCAAGACCTAGCCACGCAAGCCCTGGACAAGTTCTTCGGATTGAGCCGAGGCAAGATGTCGCTGGCCGAGTACTCTGTGGAGTTTGAAGCTCGGTTTGATGAAGCACATGACCGAGCAGGCTTGGTGATGAACGACGTGGCGAAGTTCTACCTGTTCTTCAAGAACTCTGGCCTGTCCAACAAGACGGTGGACGACATAAAGCTGCAGGTGCAAGGGGACTATGCGAGGTTTCAAGATGCTCGACAACTTGCACTGCGGCTTTCCCCGAATCGCTCAGAACATGATGGAGGTGATGTCTTCTATGGAGAAGCCCATGAGCAAGACTATGAGGAGGAGATGCAGTCTTACTGGTATGATGGCTGGTACGACGATGGCGAAGACTGGGATTGGAGCTACTATGCAGACGACGGCAACGAAGGTGACTGGTACCACGAGCCTGAGGAGATCTACTACGATGAGCCTGGCGAGTGGTACTACGATGATGAATGGTGGCCGGATGATGGAGTCCAACATGGAGTTCAACAACCTTCGCAACAAGATGAGGCCGCTGCCAATCCTGATTCAACATCGTCGGAACAGCCTGCGGAGGAGTACTACGGTGGCAAAGGAAAAGGAAAGCATAATGATGGATGCTTCCGATGTGGCAGCAAATGGCATATGGCGAGGGATTGCCCTATGAATGGACCTCCCAAAGGACATGGCAAAGGCAAGTCTTATGGAGGAGGAAAAGGAAAGAGCAAGGGCTAGAAGGGCAAATCTGGATGGAGATGGCGACCCTTCAAGGGCAAAGGCAAGGGCTATGGCTTCAGACCAAAAGGCAAGTCGAAGGGCAAGGGCTACAGCCAACCTTCTTGGTACTTGTCTTCAACAAGGCCGCCCTTGGACGCCAGCGAAGGGATCCCCACTACATCCAAACCGAGCTCTTCACAGACACAGGAGTTCTACGTTGGAACCCCTCCTGCTGCGGAGGACTTCATGAGCATTCCTCGTCCTGCCCGACGTGCCACTTCCAGCACTGAGGAGTCCGAGACAGCCTACAAGACCATCGAGAAGCACCAGCACGATGCGTTCAGCTTCGCCTTCAACTACTATGAGGCTGTGGACTACTTCATGGTCAGAGGAGAAAAGAGACGAGGGCTCATCATCGATCCTGGAGCTGCCAGTGGCTTGATCGGGTCTGAAACCTTGAGAGACTTGATCGAATCCTGCGTGAAGCCCTTTGGCAAGGAGGTGAAGATCGAGACGGACATCTCAACGCCTGTCTCTGGCATCGACGGCAAGTCCGACAGAACTTTGGGCCGTGCAGTTGTGCCACTTCTCACTGCCGGCAAGCCGATCACTTTCACTGGAGAGATCATCGGTGCATGGCGATGGCTCACTTTGTCCGGCCTTGGTCGGAAACCCTTCACTTCGTGGACTACAAGCCATCATGTTCACAAGCTGGTTCGAAAACGGCGATGGTCTCTTGGTGATCTGTCCAAAGGAAGAGCCTGAGATGCTACGACTCCTGCTGACCGACAGCGGCCACTACATCCTCCCGACCGACACCAACACTGCGGCCGAGGTCTCCCAGAACGACAAGAAAGAGGTCACGCTGTTTTGCACGAAGGTGGCCAATGCCAGCTCAAAGAAATGGAATGACGTCAGCTCCCGGGTACTTCATGTCTTCACTACTACGTGTTCTACACCGGTGGTGCAGGCGGAAGGTAACCGGATGAGTTCCACCTTGACTACAACTCCAAGATCGACGACAACCAGTGCCGACACCCTGGAAACTCCCGAGAAGGTGAAAAAGACAGTCCACTGGGAAGATCAATGTGGAGGAGCTGACAACAATCAGACCTACGACGAGAAGATCACGGCTGGCACCAGCGATGTTTCACACAACAATGGCATTTTGCCATCTTCCTCTTGTGCAGAGGACCACGGACACCACGAACGTTTTGACAATTCTCCAAAACCCTGCAGTCTCACACCAACTACCATTTTGGAGTTGGAGCAGAAGAACAACCAGATCCAGGAGCACGACATTGAGCCCAAGATAAATGTTGTCGACAACTACCACTCCAGCGACTTTCCTGGCTACTCCGGTGACATGCTTCCAGAGAATGTGGACCACACCAAAATGACCAAACGCTACAAAGCCATCAAGGAGGAGTTCTACACTCGCACAGGTCACAAGCCTGTCACTCCCTACAACTTCAAGAAATGGATGGCGAAGATGAAAGGCCGTGGCGTCAAATGGCACTTTTGGGAATGGTTCTCAGGATCTGGAAGATTGTCTTTGACCATGCTACTTGCTGGACTCTCAGTAGGTTTTCCAGTTGACCTACGTTATGGTTGGAACATCAACGATCTCTCTCATCAGGCAATGCTTCGAGAAGCACAAGCTGAATTCCAACCAGGAGTCCTGATGTGCGCACCAGACTGCGCGCCCTGGAGTGCGGCATCCAATTCCAAGGATCCCCAAGTACGACAAGCCGAACGAGATCGCGATCAACCTGGCATCGACTTCACCCAGAACTCTTGTGAGAAGCAATCCAAACATGGACGTGGCTTCGTGGTGGAGCAGCCATATGGTTCGGCGATGTGGACTGATGGCCTACAACTGGAAAACATCCAAGACTACCGCAAGAAGCAGCGTGTGGACCAATGCATGCATGGAGCAGTGGACGAGGCCTACAACCCAGTCCAGAAGGCCACAGGCTTAGGCTCCAACATCAAGTTCAACAAGACAGCCATTCGTTGCGGAGGACACAAAGGACGCCAACATGCACATCTCTGTGGACAAGTTGGCGGAGTGAATCGCACAGCCGCTGCAGCTGTGTATCCTCGTCAGATGTGTCAACGCATGAGGCTGGACATCATGAACTTTCTCCACAAGCGAAACCTGATGAATATCAAGACCGAAAGCTTCTACGAGTGCATCAGATGCCAATTGGGCAGATTCTGCCCGAAAGGTGTTGACCACACCATGGTTCCAGGTCAATGCAGACACGGACGTTATTCTCCGGGAACGCATCCACGGCAGAGATCCTCGGCATCAGCAGCAGACCCAATATCTGACTGGAAGAAGGTCGCCGATCGTGAAGCTCTTGAACAAGTTGATCTTCAAAATCACCTGGAGCACGAACTCACTGTGGAAGATTCTCACTACTTGAAGAAGCTCTTGGTGGAGACGATCAACAACGCCCTTGGACTCTTCAATGAGGCATCCAACAGGAAGATCGACTACAGTCACTGGGTAGACAACCCTGTGGCCATGGCGCTCTTCAAAGAGATCTTCAAGGACATCATGCAGGTCAAGGGCATCAAGGTCGAGCTTCGACCCTTCTCCAGAACCACTGCTGAGCCAACTCTGCCTATGTCATCTGCCTATCTTCGGCTTCCAGTTCAAGGACATGTGAAGGCTTGGACCATTGGCCCTGTGGAAGACATGCGCGAGATGAGCTTCAGCCAGATCAACGCCGACATCGATGAAGCCGATTGGATGGTGACCCTCTACGGTGTGGAACATGACGCAGTGCCAGCTCCATCCACACCGGGTTCACATCCACGCGCACTACCTCCACAACCAGCACTTCCTCCACGACAAGATGATGCAGCTTTGGTGCCTCTTCCAGAAGTTCAAGAACGCCCTGGAGATCCTCAAGAAGCAGCTGCTGTTGCAGAACCTGCCTATGAAGAATTTGATCTCCACGGACGACAATCCTTGGCACCAATCAGACCCAGCTAAAACCTGCGACGAGTCCTGGAGCGACTTCCAAAACTTGTGGCTTCAGGTGATCTCGCGGTGGCCAAACGACTTCTTGTTGGACTACATGAACGACTGTGGCACACCCCTGTGATGGACTTCACCAACCTGCTCAGACGAGCTGGACAGCCACAAGAAGTGCTTGCGTTGGCCTCAGAAGCAGTGGCTGGATGTGTGGTGTGCCGGAAGTTTGTCAGACTTCCAAACCGTCCCCAAGTTCGAGCTGGAGGAGCCACCGTGTTCAACGACACGATCCAGCTTGACCTGTTCGTGCTCGACGGCACCACCTACCTGCTGATCTTGGATGAAGCCACTCGCTTCAAAACCTGTTCAGTTCCTGAAGGCCAAGAATCAGAACAGCTCCTGAAGAGCCTTTTCACAAGTTGGATTCAGATGTTTGGCCCGCCGGCCAGAGTAGTCCTTGATCAACAAGCATCTTTGATGGGACACGAGACTGGACTCAGCATCATGCGGTGCCCCAGAGGAACTACTCAAGGTCATGGCGCTGATCAACACACAGGAACTGGACTGGTGGAAAGGCACGTGGAGTTGATGAAACTCACCATTCAGAAACTACGTGCTGAACTCCAACGACAAGGACTTCATCCTGAACCAGAAGAACTGGGACAAGAAAGCGCAATGGCGCACAACCAGACCATCAACTACGGAGGTGCAACACCCTGCATGAGCGTGCTAGGAGTTCTTCCTCGCGGTTTCTATGACCCTGAGTCTGCTGGAGTGATGTCCACTCATGGAGCTCTTCAACGAGATCTTTCGACCTTTGAACGAGCCCTACGAATCAGGCAGACAGCCTTAGCACAGACCCAGCAGAGCATCATAGAAGATCGTGTGGCACGCGCAAATCGACATCGTCCGCATCAACTCAACTTGGACAAGATGGTTGCAGGGGTGACTGAGGTGGAGTACTACCGCGAAGTTGCTGGAGACCCTGGATGGCGTGGACCTGCACTTCTACTTCGAATTGATCAGACAGCGGCACAGCAGTCTTGCAGTACCAGGGCAAACCATACCTGGTTGCACTCAGGTTCATCCGACCCTACAAGGGCATCTACCACTTCGAGCGAACCAGTCCAACAGCAGAACAAGATCTACGCAACTTGATGAAGTATGTGGAAGGACTCTCCGACTACAAGTCCTATACATTGTTGGCTGGATTCGTCGTGGACAAGATGGCGCCTGGACGAAGACACCAAAAGAAACCCCAGCCACAAAGAATGTGATGGAATGGGCTGAGAACGTCTCCAAGGCCATGACAAAGATGCCCTTGCATGGAGTCATCATGGGTCGAGCACTTCGCACCTTCAAGCCTCCGAACAACACCATTGGCAAGCTCATCACTTGGCTGCAAGGTGGAAAACTCTTTTCAGTGCAAGAGCACAAGAACTCCAACCACCTGCGCATGAAGAAGGTCTCCAACTACTCTCGCGAAGAGACATGCATCATCTACTTCTACTACTACCTTCCTGATGGAGAAGCACACTTCGAGCCGAAGCCCAAGAACCAACCATCAGGACATCAACCTGTTCCAGTGCAACCGCAGCAACCTCATTCCTTGCCACAACCTGATGTAGAGGAAATGGAAACAGACAATGCCCAGAAGAAGAGAGATACCTCTGAAGCCGGCATCAACAACAACCCTGAGAAGAAGAAACAGAAGATTGCCATGATGAAGAAGGACATTGCCTTTCTCCAAACCTACTACATCAACAACACACGGAACAAGATCATCCTGGACTTCCCTGAGGACTGGCGACATGGCTATATGACATCATGCTCGCATCTGTCCGAAATGCCTTGAACCAGGAATATCAACATCGACAACGAACCAGTTCGCATCTCTTCCAGATCAACTACAAGCTCAGCAGTCCTGCCTCGAGCTCTGCCTGCCTCCGTACAGCTCAGATCTTCAAGGTCGACGAGGAGACAGACAACGTGACGGAGGAGAACATCACGCCTGAGATGTGGCCCAAGGTTGAGGAAGCTGATCGAGCTGAGATTCGACAGTTTGTCGAAGAACGAGCCTTCAAGAAGATCCACCGCGACCAGTTCACATCTGACATGGTCATCATCGATGCTCGATGGGTACGGAAGTGGAAACGATACCCAGACAAGTCGGTCAAGATGAAATCCAGACTCTGTGCTCGAGGCTTCCTGGACCAGCAGAAGGACCTCCTCACGACCCGTTCCACTACGGCAACACGTCTGTCTCAGAGGCTGTTGATCTCCCAAGCTGCCCGAAAGAAGCAGCGCACTGTCGAGAGCATTGACATCGCAGGTGCCTTCCTCAAGGGCTTTTCTTTTGCTGAGATCCAGAAGGCCCTGAAGCAGTTGGGAGTTGACGCTCCTCATCGAGTGGTGATCATTTTGCCCCCTTTGAATGTCTTCAGACACCTGAGCGAATTGAGCAGCGACTTTGCTGGCATGGACGAGGTGACGGCAACCCAGTACGGCCTCTTGTGCACGAAGCCCGTCTACGGTCTCAACGATGCACCTCTTGCTTGGCAACTTTGTCTGCACCAATTCATCAAAGCTCAAGGAGGCATTGGATCACATTTGGATGACTGCACTTTTCTTTGGAAGGATAAGGACTCTTCTTTGACTGCGATGGCAACAACTCATGTGGATGACATTGCAATGACTGGAACCACATCCTGGATTGATGACATGGCTGACAACATGGTCAAGCGCTTCAAGAAGGTGAGCCGACAGAAACTTCCCTTCGACCATTGTTGTGGCTGTCGCTATGAGAGAACTCCTGCCGGTACAAGATCCATCAACGTGACTTTGCGATGAAACTGAAACCCGTTGCAGTTCCTCAACGCGATGAATCCTCCAAGCTCACCAAGGAAGAGACATCTACGTTCCGCTCCATTTTAGGAGCCCTTTTGTGGATCACCGCAACTCGACTGGACGTGATCGCTGATGTCTCAGTTCTACAGAGCCGAGTGACCACAGCAGAAGTCAAGGACATCAAGCAGGCCAACTCCATCCTCATCAAGATCCGCGACTATGCCGATCTGGGCTTGCACTATCGCATCATGGAGAACCCCAACGTGCGGCTCATGTGCATTCACGATGATTCACGATGCATCAGCAGCATCTAAGGGCAGAAGCTATGCACAGGAAGGCCTGATCATCGGCTTGGCAGAGGACAAGTTCTATGGCACCAACATGCCGAACGAGGTGGAGTTCAAGGATGGCTATGGAGAAGGCACGGTGGACCAACATGGTGGAACACTTCACGTTCTACATGCTTCAGGCTCCAAGGCAAAGAGAATCTCCTACTCTACAAGTCATGCAGAGACGCTGTCAATGGTGGGAGGCATGGAAGCAAGTACCTTGGTGATGGTTCGACTTGCAGAATTTCATCACCCAAAACCTCAACCTTCCATCAAGGAGTTGATTCAAGTTCAAGAAGAAGGAGATCCGCGGCTGCCCATCGACTTCTACGGCGACTGCCGCGACGTCTTCGAGCTCACCACTGGCTTGCGCACTCTGCCACAGGACAAGTCACAGAGACTGTACATCCTGAGTTTAAAAGAGTGCCGCCTGTCTGGTCGCATGCGCCTCTTGACATTGATTCCAACACAGTGCATGCCAGGAAGGGTTAACCGGAAGCTTTTCTGGCACCGGCATCTTAGCACTGCATCCTAGCATGTTAAGATGATGTGAGGATGCTACCAACAAAGCATGTGACACCGGCACTACTAAGCTGCTGGTGCCAAGTAGCCTGTGGCACCGGCAGCTTACTGGTTTTGTTACCTTTTTGGCTGTCAGATTTCAGCTGAAACACAGACATGAGTTTGCAAACTCACATGTGTTTGATGCTGAAACAGAGAATTTTGGTGCTTAAAACCTCACGCCGCTTGCGAAAAAAAGGCAACATCTGATAAACATATTTTGTACACTATATTATGAACCGTAATTAGGCGTTGATACCTTCTTCAAGTAATTAACATGTTTTGGGGGATCACATTGAATGGTGAGGACCGGATTATATATATATATACATGCACATATATATATATATATATATATATGTAGAGTGCAAACATCGATCCATTTGAGATCCACAGGGCGCCTGAAATATAGGGAACGCCGGACTTGATGGGAAGAAAAATATGGGCATTTTCAAACCCCAAGATTGATGATGTGTAATGGACAACCATATAAAGATTTATGATTTGGTGGTACCATTTTAAAAACTCTTTCGAATTTGGTGGTGCACCAGCCGAGCGACATCCCCAGGGTGATTCCCCATTGGTTGACATCGGGTTTTGCAAGGTTGTAGATGAGTTACCTATCTATATCTATCTTGCTGTATCTACCTCTATCTATCTATCTATCTGTCTATCTATCTGTCTATCTATCTATCTATCTTTCTATCTATCTGTCTATCTCTCTATCTATCTACCTACCTATATCTATCTATCTATCTACCTATCTTTCTATCTATACAGTGGGACCCGTTAAAAAAAAATCGGAGGGAACATCATATGATACCGCATCTTCCCTGAATCTTTCCTCAAAAAAAATGGAGCACAACTAGTGGATTTAGGGTTAGCACATCTTCCCTTTAACCTACGGGTGGTCGATTTGGCATCACTGTGGCTGGATCCACCAACCACATCCGGTTTAGTACATTCCTTTTTTTCAATATATCTGTGTGTGTTTATTTATTAGTTATGATGTCAACCCTGGAGTAATAAACCACCTCTTATCTAACTATATAGATTTCCACTAGTGGGGACCACCCCCTACATATACAATTACAGTAATAAACGGTGGTTTATTCATCCATGGTTGCTACTGTAGCAAATTTCAGCTGACCACTTATTGCATTGGAATTGCGCCAGCCCAAAATCGACCTTTCTTCCGGAATCCCTCGATCTGGGTGTACACCATTGATCGTTTTGACCATAGTGTTGCCACTCATATATACTCCTGGTGCCGGGCAATGTGGCTCGAAGGAAATTTTTGGGGGATCGCAATGGCAGAGGAAATAGGAAAGGATCTTGTCTCGAGGGCCAAATTTATTGCTGAATCCCTTTACCGTGAATGCATCGACAAAGATGGTGGGGTGAGGCTCCGTCAGACTGGGGCCTTAAGTCCAGCTGGTAGTTTGAAAAGCCATAACGCTAGGTTTGCTTTTGATTGGGCTAGCCACATCCCCATGGAAAGAAAATTCTTTACTAAAGCAGCTTGTCGAATGGCTATTCAAACCTTACTGTCGATGCCAAATGTGGAAGTACCACGGTTGCCAGGGATGCCACTTGAGCTGTGGATTGAACAGCAGGCAAAGGTAGTGCAGCATCTGTGCCAACGTTCCCGCAAGAATCGTGGCTCGTCGATGCGCTTCCCTGCTTACCGGCAGCTGTCCATGGATTGGACAGACACTTTGCCCATGGAGGCCGGGAAAATCTATGTGAATCTTAGTGGGATTTAGTGATGCATTTTCGATTGCATTGAAAGAGGAAATTGAATGTCATGAATTTCTCTTCAAATCCCATTTAGTCATTGTTTCACACTACAAGTAGGTAACCCCCAATCCAATCTGTTCACAATTTCATCAGGAGGAGGATGCCCAGTGGTACCTCGAATCCTTGAGGCAGGGCCCAACAGGGAATCCAGGTGTAGCCTTATTTGCCCCAACAATGAACCATAAACTATATATACCCGGTTTGTATACATCCAGGATGTTTTTTGAAGGAATCTCAAAAAACAACAAATAAAAACTTCAAATGACCATATAAGATATACACATCTGTTTGTTGATGAACGCTTATGCATTCCACTTCCCCTGCCACCAAAACCACCAGATCATTGGCACATATGCATTTACGCACAAACACACATATACACGGACATACAAATACAGATACAATTCCGAATACATAGAAAGTTTCATATATACATCTACACATAGCATTTACAGATGTATACATATATAAATGTAAAACCCAGCTAGATACAAATATTTGCAGACATAAACATGTTTTCATATTTACATATACATATATCTATCTATCTATCTATCTATCTATCTATCTAAGTTCAAATATACATATGTATGTTTCATCAGATGTAATAATTTGCATCTATTTATATACAATATATACATGCAGGTTTATGCAAAAACTATGTAAAACATGATCTTGTATCCAGGCCATCCCATCACCCTAGTCTCTCCTTGCCAGGTCGAGCAGCAGTGATGAAGCCATTGGTGCCTGTGACGCTGATCTCGAGAGACTGGGCTACCAATAAAACGGTATATGATCCCCAATTCCTATAGGTTGTTCAGATGTGCAGTCATTTTTTTTTGGCAACCCATCGAAATAAATCGACGCATAAAATATCTATTTGTATCTCAGCCAACTGGCCTATGAATTGAACACATATGTAGATACTGGAATCTTAGAAAGTCAAACAGAGTTTTCAAACTGAGGGAAAAATCCAAGGACCCTCAGTCGCATTCAAGACACGTGACTGATGTTTGTTAAAGTGAATATTCATGAACCCCATGTTATTTTTTCAGTTTGATCCTAGGCACCACTGATGGATTCGGCCGATGATCATGATGACGACCAGGAGTGTCAGTAGTGTTTTTTTCTGACTATATATTTGTTGTGGAACCCAAACAAACATGACTTATACTCTTGGCAACACTGACAGATCTGATAGTTCCCTGTATAGGAGTACCAATCTACTGTTGCTGACAGTGATGACTATGGATATTGGGCCAAGTACAAGGGGCAGGACATTTGGGTCGTGCCGAACGCGGTCGACATGTGCAACTATGATTGCAAGCTGTGCATTTGGTTTTGCCTCCATGGCCCTAGTTGCACCAACTGTGGTACGGGGTCACGTAGTGGGGACTTCTTAGATTCCTCGGGGGGCAGCCCGGCCTCTTTGGGTTACGTGGCTTCAAAAGGTGATGAGAGTTACGGATCTACAAAGGTGGAGGACCACGGTGACCAGGTTTTCACTGTGGACAGTCCAGTGGCTGACTTGCGAGGAGAACCTAGGATGCAAACATGTTATGTCGGGTTCTCTAATTTAATGAAACCCTGCATCTTGATTTACACACATGTGCATCTTCTATTCACGTGCAAGTCTGATGGTTGGTCACTAAAAGAAACGACGATCTTCCTACCTGCTTTGTCTATTGGGTGTGGGTATATGTACTTTGGGGTGTATCCCGCTCAGTATTTGGGTTATAGACTCATATAGTTATAATATATGGAATATCCCTAGCTATACATATGGAATACCACCAATTATTACCAATTATCACAAATTATAAATGTGTGGGCAAAAATTATTTACTAAGTGGGATGCACATTTAATGGTTAGCAATCACCGATTCAATCCAAACTCCCAGCTTTCAATTTGGGGATACTCCCCCATTTGTTGTTTAAGGACTCTATGGAGCCGGAGGAAGACACCTATGAGTCTTTTGGGGGTGAACCATGGCCATGGCATGAGGGTGACGACGAACCCCTTGCAGATCCCAATCCTTCGAATGGCTATTCCGAGGTAGATGAGTATCCCCGTGGTTGGTGGAAAGAGCCCGCTGATCCCAATACTGATCCTGAATGGGGAGGTGATCATGAACAGTGGGACCCTGAATGGCCCTATGGTGAATGGGGTCCCGATCAAAACCACACATGGGATTCCGAAATGTGGGAAGAGTATGATTCTGAATGGCCTAGTGCTGAGTGGGGAGAATCCAGTGAAACCCAACTTTTGCCATTCCGAAGGATGTGATCCCAATGCCGAGGGTACCAGTGTTGACAAGAGTGGCAACAAGCAGCCGCAATACTATGGTAAGGATGGTGCTTTGCTTCCATTGACCCTTGATGACTTAGTCCTCTTCTTGGGGGAGAAGGGCTGCACCGACCGGGATGGTGTTTCATCGTTTCTGTGGGATGTGCCTCATGAGGATTATTTCCGACTGCTGGTTGAAGATGCACGTCAACATCCCGCTGTGGAACAGTTTGAGGCTTACACGACGCCCTTTACTGTAGAGTCATGGAAATTCCTAGGTGATGACACCGATGAAATTGAAGACCTGACCGACCTGATCCTCTACCTGGGTTCCCCGGATCCTGCCTTGTTTCAGGACGACACGGACCATTCGACTGCCAAGGCCTGGATCGCTTCCAACATTGATGAGTCCATGAATGGTAGCGATGAGTCTTGGGCCACCGGTGATGTTCATGGGGACATCCCTGAAAGTACCAATCACTGGGATCTGGCCTATGAAGGCAATGATCCATGGTGGGGTGGAGCGGGTTCTTGTCTAGAGGATTCGGTCAATGAAAAGCCTATGGATGATGGATCTGAAGATATCAACCAGTCATGGGGTGACGATGTTGTCCCTTATGATCAGTTCTGGAAAGGCTGGGATTGGGGTAGCGAATGGGATGAGCCCCAAATTGCTGACCCCATCATGAATGAATTTCTGGGTGAGCTTGAGAATGAGTTGGACAAGATATTCGAGCCTTCTGGTGGGTCTACTCCAGCTGCTCTTGAGGACCCCCGACATAAGTAACATTTCATATTTCCAAAATCAAAAAGCAGACCGTGGGAATAAGAGTGCCCCGTAAATCCAACATCTGGCAGGACGTGCCAATGGAAAACATCCCTGAAAT